TTTTCAGTGTTTGCTTTTGACACTGATGATTTTTTAGCCAAATTTGAACAATGGTGCCTCGTAATTGCGTGAGCAGTGCAGATAACTTTTGCTATGTTTGTGGAGAATTGACATTTGCATCACAAGTGTGCTGTAACTGCCTTGATTAGGAAAGCCTATCATCTTTATTTTGGCTGTAAGATTGGAGATCAGAGCAAGAGCTGGGGGGCCCCCTCACTTATGCTGCAATAATTGTGCAACGAACCTTCGCCAGTGGTCGAATCGGAAAAGGAAAGCTATGCCTTTTGCAGTGCCAATGGTGTGGAGGGAACCAACAGATCACGCAAGCAATTGTTACTACTGCATGGTGCCTCCAGTTAGGAAAGGTATTTGCAAGAAAAAGTGAACTTTACAATATCCGAATATAACATCTGCTATACGCCCGGTACCTCACGGCGAAGGACTACCCATTCCTGAGCCCCCAGACTCATTCCCCCTGGAGTCAGAGGACGAAGAGGATGACGGAACCTGTGAGCCTTCAACTTCACAAGACCCGGATTTTGTTCATAACTTGACATCTTCTGAACCACACAAGATAACTCAGAATGAACTAAACGACCTTGTCAGAGATCTGGATTTCCCAAAGAGTAAGGCAGAACTGTTGGGCTCCAGACTGCAGCGGTGGAATCTCCTTGCTGAAAATGTTAGTGTGTGCAAGTTTCGTGACCGTCAAAAAAATTTCGCCCCATTCTTCATCACGGAAGCTGACCTTGTAGCTTGCAATGACATCGATGGTCTGACGGCAGCCCTCAGCATTATTCATTATCCTGATGAGTGGAGACTGTTCATTGATTCATCGAAGTTGAGTCTAAAAGCTGTTTTGTTGCATGTTGGCAATGTGTTGCCATCAATTCCAGTTGGTCATGTTGTCCACATGAAGGAAACATATGACAACATGAAGCAACTTTTGAACTGAATAAACTATAACAAACATCAGTGGCAGCTTTGTGGCAACCTGAAGGTTGTTGCTATCTTACTTGGACTGTAGCCGGGTAACACTAAGTATTGCTGTTTTATGTGTGAATGGGATAGTCGGGCAAGGACTTCTCATTACATCAAGAGGGATTGGCCGCTCCGACACTCATTGGAACCTGGAACAAAAATGTTCAGTATCCTCCACTTGTAAAATCGAGCAAGATTGTTACCACCCTTACACATCAAACTGAGCCTCGTGAAGAATTTTGTTTAGGCTTTGGATAAAATGGGGACAGCCTTTAAAGACCTCGGTGGTAAATTCCCAAAGCTCAGTGAAGCAAAAATCAAGGAGGGAGTTTTCGTTGGTCCACAGATCCTTGAGCTCCTCAGAGATGGGGAATTTGACTGTATCCTGAATGGTGAAGAGAAGACAGCGTGGAATGCTTTCCAGTTAGTGGTACCCAATTTTCTCGGAAATACCAAAGCTGAAAATTTCAGGAGCTGGTGGAAAACCTGATGTTGCCCTATCAAAGATTGGGCTGCAATATGTCTTTGAAGATACATTTCCTCAATTCTCATCTGATTTTTTTCCGGCCACTGCGGAGCAGTCATCGACGAACATGGTGAACGTTTCCACCAGGACATCTTGGCGATGGAGAAACGTTACCAGGGAAAATGGAGCCCATCAATGGTAGCAGACTACTGCTGGACAGTAGCAAGAGATGCCACAGAACTTGAATATAAGAGACAAGCAAAGAAGCGTCGGGTTTAATCAAGATAAGTGACCATTATATGTTACTAATATATTGTATACATGTATATAAGATGTGAAAATTTTAATTTTCTTTGAAACTGTAGCCAACCAATTGTTTTTGTGGTTATATTCGTTTTCAGGACCGCAAAATCCATAAAGAGAAAACCATTTTATCTCCGAAGCACAAAATTTTTCAAAATTTGTAGTTTTAAACACAAACATTACAACTCCTATAGAAATCCTATACATTATCAAAAATCAGAAACTAAAATAGCTAATGTACACAGCACACAGCAACAAATAAAAATTTAAATTAAAAATTCTGTTATGCAAATCTAATGAAATTATTCATGAGGCAACATCCTCATGGTGAGTTTCCTATAACTGCTAGCCAATTGGTACATAAAGTTCCTTGAAACGAAGGACAGAATCACGTCTTTCAATCCAGCGTGTATCACACATACGAAGTAAATCATTATGAAGAGAAGAAGGGAGGTAATTGGATATTTTTTCTTTCAGATTCTGCATTCTTTGAGGAGAGGACCTGATTAAAAGTACAAACAGCCCCAAGTGTCCTATACAGTTGCGCACCATAGGTATGGCACACGACTTTTCTACAGCAAGATTTAGAGAACCTTTGGATACTGCGATATTATATGGGCACAAACTCCATTCATATGGCCACTCATGGATGGTACCGCATCATATCCTCGTCCAACCATTTTTTTCTGGATCAAGGTTCAATTTCTCTATTTGGCTCATAATTACTTGGGCAAGACCATGGCCAGTAACATCATACACAGGTAATTACAGCTGATTGGCGGTTTCAAACCTGTCCGATTTCGTCCTGAAGTAATGATGTATTTCTAAATGAGTTTATTCATAATCGTTGGGATGACCGTTTCCGGCGAGAAAGATATTTAGCTAAATTATATAAAGATACAATCATTCATTCTTTCAAACATAAATACGTAGGAAGTTTATCAGAAGTATTATACATGAATTAACTTTTATACTGTGGTAGCAAATTCACGCTTTCGGAGGATGCATTTATTATATACTTATTTTTACCAACTATGAGGCATACTAAGACAAATTACATATCAGTAATTCTACATTATACAAAAACTAACATTTTAAAAGAATAGAATCACATTGAAATATTTACACGGCGTGAAGAGGCTGGAAATATGAAATTGTTGGCAGTCGCATTTCCCGCCTCTGCTGACGGTCGTATAAACATTTCAATGTGATTCTAATCTTTTAAAATGTTAGTTTTTGTATAATGTAGTATTACTGATACGCAATTTGTCTCAGTATGCCTTATTGTTGGCAAAAATTTAAAAATCAGGGTAATATCTGAATTTTTTCAAAGATTTTTTTTAATGAGAGGAAGGGGTCCCATAACGATTGCCTGTGGGGGGGGGGGAGGGGCTATATGACAGCCATGGCACTTGAGGCTTCTTCCCACCTTAAATTGTGACTTCTTGTAGGGCGGGCATCCGCCAATTCCAGGTATGAACACTCGACTGAGTAATGTCCTCTGAGGTGTTTATAAACTTACAGTATATTAAGTCACCCCTTGCCCGCCTATAATATATATTAAGTAACTGCAAACGTTTCAATTTCTCTGGGTACCTGAAGTGCCGTAGTGCAAGCAGCACAAGTCTGGTTACGAGAGGCGGACCATCAAGGTAACTAAATACTTCTCGTAAGACTCACCAGCTTAGTTGCTTGATTCACATTCTTCTCACAGTGGCTCGAACACTTCAGTGGCTAATCTTCAGGTGAAATAAACTGGGGTGTCTAATCTTCAGTGAAATAAGCTGTGGTGTCTAATCTACAGTGAAATAAGCTGGGGTGTCTAATCTTCAGTGAAATAAGCTGTGGTGTCTAATCTACAGTGAAATAAGCTGGGGTGTCTAATCTACAGTGAAATAAGCTGGGGTGTCTAATCTACAGTGAAATAAGCTGGGCTGTCTAATCTACAGTGAAATAAGCTGGGGTGTCTAATCTACAGTGAAATAAGCTGGGGTGTCTAATCTACAGTGAAATAAGCTGGGATGTCTAATCTACAGTGAAATAAAGGTGTCTAATTACAGTGTCTAAACAGTGAAATAAGCTGGGGTGTCTAATCTACAGTGAAATAAGCTGGGCTGTCTAATCTACAGTGAAATAAGCTGGGGTGTCTAATCTACAGTGAAATAAGCTGGGGTGTCTAATCTACAGTGAAATAAGCCGGGATGTCTAATCTACAGTGAAATATGCTGGGATGTCTAATCTACAGTGAAATAAGCTGGGGTGTCTAATCTACAGTGAAATAAGCTGGGGTGTCTAATCTACAGTAAAATAAGCTGGGGTGTCTAATCTACAGTGAAATAAACTGGGGTGTCTAATCTACAGTGAAATAAGCTGGGCTGTCTAATCTACAGTGAAATAAGCTGGGGTGTCTAATCTACAGTGAAATAAGCTGGGCTGTCTAATCTACAGTGAAATAAAAACTGGGGTGTCTAATCTACAGTGAAATAACTGGGTGTCTAATCTACAGTGAAATAAACTGGGGTGTCTAATCTACAGTGAAATAAGCTGGGCTGTCTAATCTACAGTGAAATAAGCTGGGGTGTCTAATCTACAGTGAAATAAACTGTGGTGTCTAATCTACAGTGAAATAAACTGGGGTGTCTAATCTACAGTGAAATAAGCTGGGGTGTCTAATCTACAGTGAAATAAACTGGGGTGTCTAATCTACAGTGAAATAAGCTGGGATGTGTAACTCTCAGGTGACCCAGTACACAACAGGTATGGCGTTTCAGACAGGTGAAGATACAGACGAAGTTGATTCAGGTTAAGTGATCAGCTTTGGTGATGTTAATGTCAGGGTGGCAGGAAGTAGTAGTTGAGCCCACTATACACACACCACAGTGAGGACTGAACCAAACATATAACGGGAATTGTGGTGTGTGTTGCCTTGTCTTGCCGGAGGGAGGAACAGAAGAATAAGTGAGGGGAGGGGAAGAAGGCATAGAGGAAGGGTAAATGAGTGTGTGGAAAAGGGAGAAGGAAGTAAACGTTGAGGGTAAAGGAAACAACGGGAAGAAGGTTAGTAGGGTGGAGTAATAGAGGAGGTGAACATGAGAGAAGAAGACTGGAAATTGTAAAGAGAAAAAATGGTACGTTTTAGGAAATGTTAGGAGGATGTAGGGAGGAGATAAACACATGGGGGGGGGGGTGAGTGGCGTGAAGGAGGGAGGGACACCTATGACCAGCTCAGTTACACACGTGCAACAGACTCTCCGTCGCCCCCGTCCTCGACACAACAAGGACCTCTCTCTTCCGTCGCAACTCTTGGCCGTCGGTTAGTGACTCTTGAGGTAAGATATCAGTGACTGGACAGACTTTGATAACGGAATGACTTGGTGACTGAAATTTAATGTTATTAACTGAACGACTGTTTCGTTAACTGTTTACCGTTCTTGGTAACATCGCCCTGTCAGACAGCTGCTTGGTGGAAGAGACACCCTCACTACTCTTCGTGACTGAATGAAGATCGTTTCCAGTACTGTAAGTTATAACACATGAGATATTAGCTTTTATCTTTGCATCCCTGTTACATCTTGTTCTATTGTCCTCATTATTAGTTACTAATTAGTATAGTTCAGTAATTTTCACATCTCGACGAAAATCACGTATACTGTATACATCACCATCATTGTTGACAAGTGATAGTATCTCGCCGGTTTTGAAAGCAATTGCCTTTGCGTTAACAAGCGACCGAATCTCGCATACCTGATCAACAGCACGTTGATTTTAATGCCCCTTGAGCATTGGAGGGGGGATATAAAGATTTCCCCCTGTCCGCCCATCCGTCCCCACCCGTGTTTGTCAGTTGGATTAAGATAAAAGTATCCATTATATTTTCAACCACCATGCTTGACTATAATACCAGTGAGGATACAAGTCTCAGATACACGCCTCCTTGTTATCACCTGATAGCGACGGCGACGCAGGCGAAGGTGAGACGCCAAACTGCGATGAATGAATGTGAACTCTCGATAGGGGCTGGAAAGGGCAGCTCTGGATAGCTCGTGAGAATTCGAAGAGGTAAGAAAATCTCATGAGTAAATGTTTGGGATTTATCCTTGTTTCACCATCTTTCCTACCTCGCCATTTTTTACCTACTTCACCATCACTCCCACTACACCTCAGCTACACTTAACCACAATAATACACTTATTTATTGTTGTAAATTATCAAAAGTAGTGTCCCTGTAGTGAAAGAGTTAATGGAGACCGTGCATTAACGCCCTTAGTGTATTGAATTAGCACACTGAGTAACTTATTTTATCGCCTGAGTACGATGTCTTAATCCCTTAAACAAAGTGTTACATTTCCTCTTATTTCTATTGGGTTCACGAATAAAATAACTATTTACCATAAAACATTTTCCTAGACGGGTCTAAAATCTGGGTAAAACACAAGTTTTTACAATAGATTTTAGAAGCAATAATGACTAACTAAATAGGAGGTGTGTTCAGTATGAAAATTTACCAAACACAACATATTATTATTAAGCCTACAATTAAGTCAACTGCAATATACATTACTTAACGTAATGGAACAGGAACACTAAGTGAAAACAGTTCACGCAATACAAATAACAAAGTACTCATCACTATGGAGAAGGTGAGACCCACAGCTGGCAACCATATTGTCCACAAGTAGGCTGAATTTTCCAGATGGTTAACCCAACACCAAACCTCGAACGAATGAGTCGAAGCATTAACTAAAACTTCGACAGCACATCCACTGGGCAATAAGATGGCCCAATGTAGCGACTCTCGGGATTCTCAATCACCCTTTGTCCTTAACCACGAGATGCCAACAACTACCATACAACATTGTGAATGGCTGGTTTATCACAAAGGTAAATGAATACACAAAATCTACACTAGTAAAATTATTACATGATTCCCCGAAACAAATTACAAATAAGAGAATATAGGCCTACATATGAAATTCAATTACCAAAGTTCGTCGCAATAGCTGTGAATGTTTTAGGTTACGAAAGATTCATTGCAGTGAATGTCCCAAAACTATAAATGTTCCCAAGATACGCACCCAACTACTACCGGTGATTCTAATTGCGTTTGTTCCTTTGCAAATTATTAATAAGCGGTACCACTCACTACCACCTCCATCACAGTGTTTCTCAGATGTCACCATAAATCATCACCACCTCAACATACCCTCACCACCATCTGCTCACCATCCCCCAAAACCCTCCAGAGAGGAGCATGAAGCTGGGTCACCTGCTGACAGTACAGTGGTGGGTGACGGTGATGGCCATGGCTCGCCTTGTAGACCGACCTACACTCCACACAGATCAAGGTAAGTCACTTTTGAATCTACCCTCATAATAATAATAATAATGCAATAATAATCGTAATAATAATATCCCACTCCACCCATGAATTGCAGTACGAGTTGCGTTATTATTTATGTGTGTTAAGTCTAACGTGCGAATAACCGGGATCCGATGTCATTCACCGAAATGTGTTATGATTGTACAGTCAACGCTTGAATCATCAAGTACGTTATGTAGATACAGTAAACACATGAATAATATATCGTGATATGCATTACTATGGAAAATCCCCTCAAAAAGTCCGTGTCCTCGGCAATCAGAATGAACCGGTAGAGCGAACCCTGCTGGTCCTCTCATTCAGTTTTGATTTTCAACCACAGAACAAGTGGAGCTTCTTATAGCACGCATTAAACAGGTGAACGGAAATAAAGTCACATGACTCGTACACATTGACAACACAATTTTTTTATCAGAGTACCACATAGAAGGGTACAACCTTTTTCACAAGGACAGGAAAGGTAGGAAGGGGTCGCACTCATCGTCAAGGATACATTAAAATGTTGTATTAATAATTCAATAAAGGGTGAAATAGGAACCGAGTCTGTATGGGTAGAAATTACGGAAGGAAGAGAAAAACTAATTATGGGAGTGATTTACAGGCCCCCAAGTCTTGGGAAAGAAGCAGCTCAGCCCATATGGCAGGAAATGAGAAGGGCAGCAAAATATAACAACCTGTGCATTATGGGGGATTTCAACTTCAGAGATATTGACTGAGACAACATTGTAGGTGACTATGAATTTGAAGACTTCCTAGACGCAGTAAAGAACAATTTTTTTAAACAACTAATTACAGAACCTACTAGAGGTGACAATATATTAGACCAAATATTAACAAATAAAGAAAATATTATCAGAGATATCACAGTAGGGGAAGAACTAGGTAACAGTGGTCACGGAGAAATCAGGTTCACCCTAAATTGGGAAACAAAAAACAATGACAATATGGTCAGTCCCAAACTTTCGGTTGGCGTATTATCAGGGGTTAAGAAGGTACCTAGGTGAGGTCACCTGGGAACAGTCAGATCAGTCCCCAGCAGGAAAGGGTGAGGTCACATGTGACACCACAATTGATCATGACTATAATATATTCACTAGTATACTATGTAAAGCACAAGAAGAAAATATACCATACAGAAATATGAGGTCAAATAAGAATGAGCCAAGGTGGATGACCAGAAAACCTAAACATGACATAGGAAAAAAGAAAGGAATTTATAAGAAATTAAAGGGAGGGGAGGAGCAGCTCAGAAATAGGTATAATGAACTATCTAGGAATGTTAAGAAAAATGTAAGGAAAGCAGAGAGACTATGAAATCAGAATAGCAAGAGAATCCAAGGCGAATCCCAAGGGATTTTTCCAGGTATATAAAACAAAGGTCAAGGACCAAGTTGGGCCTTTAAAGTCAGGGAAGGGAGAAGTGATCGATGGCAGTGAAGAAATAAGCAAAGCAGTGAACAGCTACTTTTTATCAGTTTTCACAGAAGAAATTCGCGAGGAAATTCCACAGGTGGAACTGATATTTAGGGGAAAGGAAGAAGAGAAATTAAAGAATATCACTATCAGAAAAGAGGATATTCTTAAGAGGATAAATAAATTAAAGAAGACAAAATCCCCAGGGCCGGATGGAATTTTCCCTCGGGTCTTGAAAGAGTGTAGGAAACAGATTAGCGGACCCCTCGTAAATTTATTTACAAAATCATTAGACACAGGAGTTGTGCCAGACTTGTGGAAACAGGCAAATGTAGTACCCATATTAAAAAAGGGAGACAGAGCATCAGCGTCAAATTACCGGCCGATCAGTTTGACGTCAGTAGTGGGGAAATTTCTTGAATCAATTATAGCAAATAGAATCCAATCTCATTTAGAGAAAAGCAAATTAATCTACGACTCTCAACATGGGTTTAACGAAGGGAAAATCTTGTCTAACAAATCTGCTGACGTTTTTTTAGGAAAGTCTTCGAGGTAGTAGATAATGACGAAAATTACGATGTTATTTACTTAGACTTTAGCAAAGCATTTGACAGAGTACCGCATTAGAGGCTTCTGAGAAAAGTTAAGGCTCGTGGTATCGAGGGGAAAGTTTTAAATTGGATAAAATCATGGCTCACTGATAGAACGCAGAGGGTCAGCATAGATGGTGTTAAATCTGAGTGGAGCTGTGTAACCAGTGGGGTTCCCCAGAGGTCAGTGCTAGGCCCACTCTTGTTCATAATCTACCATAAACGATCTAGATACTGGGATCAGCAGCGACATAAGCAAGTTTGCGGATGACACCAAAATAGGGCGGCAGATTAATTCAGGGCAGGATGCAAATGCACTACAGGAAGATTTAAATAAACTGCAGGGGTGGTCTGAAAAATGGCAAATGAAATTCAACACCAGCGAGTGCAGCGTACTTAATATTGGAAGAACAAATACTGTCAATGTATACAGCCTTAACATTAACCTAGATAAGTCGACTTGTGAGAGAGACTTAGGGGAACTTGTAAGCCCGGACCTACGGCCTAGAAAACAGTGCGTTAATGTTCGAAATAAGGCAAACAGAGTATTAGGTTTTATATCTAAGAAGTGTAAGTAATAAGAGTGCAGAGGTCTTATTGCAACTATACCTTGCGCTAGTCAGGCCGTACCTCGATTATGCGGTTCAGTTCTGGTGCCCTTATTATAGAATGGATATCAATTCACTGGAGTCGGTGCAGCGAAGAATGACGAAAATGATTCCGGAACTTAGAAACCTTCCATATCAAGATAGGTTAAAGAAACTAAACTTGCATTCCCTAGAAGGACGAAGAGTGCGGGGAGATATGATAGAAGTATTTAAGTGGGTGAAAGGAATCAATAAAGGGGATATAGATAAAGTTTTTATAATATCCGATCAGGATAGGACTTGTAGCAACGGATTTAAGTTGGATAAGTTTAGGTTTAGGAGGGAGATAGGAAGGAACTGGTTCACAAATAGGGTGGTGGACGAGTGGAACAAGCTTAGCAACTTTATAGTAAGTGCTGGAACGCTGGAAAGTTTTAAAAGGAGGCTAGATAGATTCATGGATGATAGAGTGGTAGTAACTCTCGACCGGAGCTGCCATGCACAGGCCAACCGGCCTATTGCAGACTCCTTATTTTCTTATGTTCTTTCTTATGTTCTATAAAAATACCTCACTATAGTCACGAGGTAAACCCAGGACCTCCACGTGAGAATAGGGGGTAAAATTTCAAATAGGGAACGCTGTGGTACCACAAGAACTTAAGAGACTTCGTTGGCTTACAAACCTGCTCCTTCGTCTTACTAAGTAACGTTTTTATATCTCATGAACTGGACAATTGGTGTGAAAGAAAAATTTAATAAAATTCACATATGTAAAAATCACTTTCATATCACAATTACAACAAACAGTAAAGATTCGGAAAAGGTGGACCACAGACACAACTAACAAATAAGGTTTTCCTATTGTGTATTGTGGGGTTTCAAGATAATCTGACCCGTTATGGAGGTATGACCCCCATTACCAACAATATTGGCTGCACAAAGTGGGCAGAGGGCTTTGAGGTAGAGGGAAATTGTAGAGTAAAAACACGCAAAACATCCTGACGAAACGAAACCTCCTAACCAGAGAAACCAGGGCCTGACCTAACCTCCTAACCTAACCTGGGGGGGACCCTCATTGTGTAAAAAACTTACCTTAATTAACAGATGTTAGAGGATAATGTGGTGCTACTTGTCTGAGGAAGTGGTGTAGTAGTCTTCTGATCGTTGTATTCAGCTTGGAATATGTACAGACCAAACTATTGTCAGTAATGTTCCTTCTTATTGCCGGCATGAAGCACCCAACTCTTGTTATCCTTCCACAATCGTTCTATATTTTACGTATGAACAACTGTAACACTTGCAGCACTTCACAGAGGTAACAGAATACCGTCAACCTTAAAAATGTCAATGGCAGCGGCTTCATTTTCAAATACACGATAAATAGTTTGCCAAGCTGAGATAAACACACCAGTACAGAGCGACGCCATTTTGCTACTGGCTTCATCAAGTTCAAATGCGCATCGACAGCAACGCTGATTGGCTAGACATAATCACGTGACACCGAGAGCAACACTGATTGGCCAGGGCTGCCGTAATTCCAACTGTGTTTTACCAAACGCTCTGATTGGTTATCTTCCTCGCGTTGTGACTGGCTACGAGACCATGACGTCATAAAAACGTTTTCTTTGTTAGATGTGTTCATGCTTGTATATAGGATATCAGTAACAATAAATATCCTTTTTACTATATATATATATATATATATATATATATATATATATATATATATATATATATATATATATATATATATATATATATATATATATATATATATAAATAAATCACTGTAGGTGCGTGATCCAGGTATATGCTGATAACCACAAGGAAAGAAAACACGAAGTTCCCAAGCGCTTTCGTGTAATTCACATCTTCAGGGTGAGTACAGTCATATATATATATATATATTTTTTTTTTTTTTTTTCATGTAGATCCACAATGAAAACGTGGATAAGATAAATCTTGATAAAATAACATGTCATTTAGTTTCAATACTGACTCGTTGGGAAGGTGACACGAGTTTTGAGGTGATTGAGCTGTACAGTACCAAAGAGCTTTATTTACATATACTATACGCATGAATTAGAATACAGGTTAAATAAGCGAAAGATAAGTACAGGTAAACGCACTCATTAGTCCCAGTGTGTGTGTGGACGGAGGTGGAGGAGGTGTCTGCTGCGGTCTCCCCTTACAAGTCACGGAGAAAACGGAAGGTGGGTTTACTTATACTCGTCATGGGGAAGAAAAATAACTGATGATTATACGTTGTGTGGTAGTGTTGCCTGGTTGATGCTCCCACACGCCCATCACTTGTATTTTTAACGCCTGCACGTCCATTTGACACACACACACACACGCCCGTCACTATAACTTAT